AAGAAAAACAAATTCTATATTAAATTTAAAAATTGAATATATATCATACTTCATTCAGATTTCCTACAAGTTTTGTTACTTCCTCATTATTGTGTAATAGTTTCGATAAATCATCAGAATTTTTCTGACTAATTATATTCCGTACTTCATTTAATCCATTATCATTATTTGCATAATAAGCGTTCATTATTTTATTTAAAAAAAACAACAACAATTGAGAATGCAAATTTTCTTTTCTTGTTTCGTTCTTTCTCTTCGTTTAAACAAATAAAATAGGTCATGATTCATTTACTAGACATGCTTTTTGTCATTGCTTTTTTAATCACCAATCAGAAGACAGAAAGGAAGAATTTTAAAATTATTATTTTTTTTCATCGTATGAAAATGAGAAATCATTTCAAATTTTTTTTGTGGATAAAAATTATTGTGAATAAAGATTTGTATTCGTATAGTTAATGAGAATATGAACAAATGATAGTCAAATTATCTGCTCATCTCTTGCAAATCATCAACTAGTAACAAATCTACATAAGAAGTGCGATCATCAAATACAATTAATTTCAACTATTATTTATATATGCAATTCCTTTTCATTTTACGAGTATGGCTTCATTGATGAAAGAGCTTAAAAAACAAGAAAACTTAGAAATCGATTTTGATTCATAAAAAAGACCGTTTATAGATTATAAGTCATCATTTGATCATCTATCATTTTCTTAGTATATTAAAATAGTCTGAGGTACATAGACAACGTGGAAAGACAATATTTACAATACGGAAAAATATTTCATAAGTCCATAAGTGTGAATATTGTGTCTTTTTTTGCAGTAGTACATTTCTTATTAATAATGTTTAGGTTCAGTAAGTAGAAGGGATGAATTCTAGTAATTATGAAATTGAATTTATTGTATTATTATGATATTTATCTGAGTCATTAGTATATATTATATTCATGTAACTAAAGGTATTCGTGACCCGACTAGTATCTGTATACCACATGTCCTTCATACCAATTGAGAGATAAAAGCAAGAAAAAAATAACAAATACATCTGAATCAAAAAAATGTTTTTTTTTAAGAATGTGGTATACATATAGTTAACAAGTTTTCACGTTATATCTTATCAGATGTCAAGCGTTGTATAATCAATAACGTGCTAAATAACTGTTGCTAGTACTCACACTCAAACTCTCTTCTATAATGCGTATGTTAATATTTTTATCCATAATTATTTTATTTTTTATTATTCATATTAATGCTAATACATTTAATGACACAGAAATTACCTATCCTCCATATTGGCATATAGCTCCTTCATCTTTATCAGAATTTCCATTAATAAATGATTCATTTTCTCAATATCGATTAATCGATCCATGGTTTTATCCTCATAGACTTGGTCTATATAAAATTTTAATTAATGTAACTACACCTTTCATGCCATTTTGTTCTTCATCGAATGCATCAAATATTCTCTTTGCATTACCATCACAATTCGGTTGGCAATTTAGTTCAAATCGACTATTTACAAATGGTACTATGAATATTTCAACAAATAGTTGGTGGGCATCAGCTAACTATTATCTATCAGTCATACCATTTTTAGTCGCTGTCGATATTGGTCTTATACATAAAGAACCATTTCGAATACTTCGACAAAATAATTTTTGTTCAAGTTCTACAGAATGTTTTCGTCAAATTCCGCATGCAATGGAACAATGGTATCTTTTCTTTCTTCATCTTACACAATCAGCATCATGTATATCAAATAAAAAACTAACTCAACGTATTATTGAGAAATGTTATTTACAACACATATGGACAGCATATAAAAGTTCAATTTATAATGCTTTACCATTAGTTGAATCGAAATTGGATTATTTACCATCGGAAGTTGAAAAATTATTTGGTCTTGGATGGGCAAGATTTATAAATTTAATTTCGATGACAAGAAAAAATACAGATTTATATGAAACAATTCGAAATCAACGAAAATTTTTACCATTTCGAATGTTAAAAGAATCTGATCGAAAACCAGAATCGAATGATTTACCAGATTTAGTTAATAGATCATTAAAAAATCTTCTTTCATTTCGTTTTGATTGGTTATTATTTATTGAAAAAATATGGTCTAGAATAACATGTAATTATGAAGGAAGAATCTATGCTCAATATACATTAGAAACGATGGCTTTATCAAAATTACTTGCTTCAACATATTTAGCGAAAGCTATAATGAATGCATTTTTATATAAATGTGATCGTTTATCAAATCTTTAAAAGTTTTCTTAACGATTATCTTGTATAAAATTTGATACTATTTCAAAAATTTCTATTATATAATGCTGATAAATACTTTTAATAAAATATACACTGAATAACTCTGGGTACATGTTTAATTATTTTAAATATATATGGAATTTCCTTTCTTCTAAAACTAATATTTAAGAAAACACATGCAATAGAATCATTCTGGTGTTTAGTAAATATATTTAATCATGTAGAAAAAGCACTTAATATATACCTTTTTTTTATTTTATATTACATTATAATTATAACGATAAAAATCATGATTTTCTAGGTCTATGCTCTTAAGTTATTCATGTGTGAATCAATCAATTTATTAAAAAAATTTACGGAAGGAAAAAATATGACAAAGTCAACGTAAGATTTTTTTTACTTTTCATCATCAGCAATCATTAATGTTGTTTTCTTATATCGTGTGGAATGTACTTCAAACGACATGCTGTCTTTTTAATATTTTTGATTAATTCAGTTTGTAAGTCTGATAACAATTCTCTTTACAACTGAAAGATGACAAGGCTCCTTAGAGCGTACTTTAAAAAGCAACAAACATGCATACTGATATTATTCATAAATATAAATTTATTGCTTATGTATATATATATGCGAAAAAAATTTCAATTATTGCCGAAATATCATAAAAATAGTTGATAAAAAAAGCAAAAAACTATATATTTTTATCTGCAGAGTTTTCTTTGTTTAATCGTCCAATGTATTATTTTTTCTTCGATGTTGATTCTGTTGATGTTGTTGTTGTTGCTGTTGCTTTTTAGTATTATGTTGATTAGTTAATAATGCTTCTTTAATATATAACTTTTGATCTGAATTTAATGCACGTGGATATTCAACATCAAATTCAATGATTAAATCTCCATATTTTTCTGGATTTGTCATTAATGGCATACCTTGACTTGGTATACGTTTTTTATATCCAGGACTAAGAAGGAAAAAAAAAGTCATAAACTAATGATTCTATTTATTTACCGGACAATTTCATTGATCGGTATATCAAGTGTTCTTCCATCAAGATGTTCAATATGTAATGTAATACCAGTTAATGCATGTCCTAAATTTATTTTAGCTGTATAAATAAGATCTGCATTTTCTCGACGAAAATTTGCATGTGGTTTATCTGTGACAATAAAAACAAGATCCGATGGAATATTATTTGGACCTTGATCACCTTCATCTTCAAATGTTACTTTTGTACCAGGTAACCAACCACGTTTAACAGTAATCGAAAGAATTTTTTCACGAATAGTTGATGTTATACCATCATCATTTAATACCTTAAATCAATTATGAATTATGAATTATTTTATTTCTAGAATTTTACTCGTCGACTGATGCGAATTTTTTTTATTGCTCCATGATAACAATCTTCAAGTGACAATAAAAGATCACGTACTATTGGGGGATCTTTTTTCTTTCGACCACGGCCATCTACACCACCAAAACCTAAATTTCGATCTTGATCAGCACTTGCATAAAATTCTAAATAAATAATCAAAATTTTCATCAAAATCATTTTTTTCTATTCATTTTAACCTGCAAATGGATTATCACCACCAAAAAAGTCTCGAAATACTTTATCAGGATCTCCATGAAATACATATCCTTCACTCCATTCATTATTTGAACCTTAAAAAAATATTTGAATATAACATATTTTAATAAAAAACAAATTTTACCTATTGGCACACCATTTCGTAAACCTTCTTCACCATATTGATCATAAACAGCTCGTCTTGTATCTAAGAGTAATAAATACAATGTCAAATATTTATTCAATAAAATAAATAACATACGATCACTTAATATATCATATGCGACAGCAAGATCATTAAATTTATCATATGCATTGGGATCATTCGGATTTTTTAATGGATGATATTTCAATGCTAATCGTCGATAACTATATGAAGAAATAAAAAGCGATTGATAAGAATTGGTTTTATTTAAACTTACGCCGATTTTATATCATTATCTTTTGCACTTCGATTTATTTGAAGAACTTGATACGCATCTTGTCTCATTTCAAATAGTTTCTTTTCTATCAATGACTTACTTAAAAAAAACTCCCCGCGTTTATCTTGTTACTAGCAAAATAAAAGTTACTCTTGCCATCGGTATCACTTTTCACATAGCAACGACTTCATTGTTATACAATTAACAAGCGACATCCATATTAAGATTATTTTTTTTTAATATTATTTCAACGAAAGACACAATTCAGAAGCATTGTGCGAAATAAAAGAGATTTTATTTATTTTAAGATAAAATTCTAAAATATCTTCACATACATTCTTATCCTACGACCCATTTTTTAAATATTCACATAGATATAAAACTGAGTAATATAAAATAAATTGAACAATAATATCATTATGAGAATAAACAGTACTAATTCACTTTGTTAAGTGCTCTGGTATAATTGACAATAAAAGATCAACTAAAGATAAAACTATTCGTTTTTTTTATGGTTGATTAAAAATAAGAAAAAAAATATAATTAGTAAGATATGATCTTTGACTCTACCCTTTTGGCATCTTTCTTTGTCTTTTCTTGTTGTTTTGCACCATAATGCCAAAAGGGGATCATGTCTATAAGCAGCAGCAGCAGAATGTAGCAAATTTCTATAGGACAAAATGACCTTATCCAATGTCGATTATAAGTGAGTAGGCTTAAGGACAATTGATGAGATATTTTTAATGTGACAAAACTAAATTCACATTTATATTAATTAAGTTATTTGTTTTTTTCATATTTCAATTGTTTATTCATAAAAGAATAAAGTATTGTTCTCTGGAGAAAGACGACATTGATTGCGCTATATAACTTCACATTTATTATTGGAAAAAAAATTCATCATCTTCGTTTTGCATCAAATATTTAGCCATTAATCATATTAAAAAAGAAGTCATCAGTACAGGAAACCAATTTCTTTCTTAAGGAAAGAGATTATCTATCTTCCTTCTTTTTGTTTTATTGAATAAAAACGTCTAATGCATTATTTCTTGATGGAACAACACATCTAGTGACATCTTATTTTTCTTCAACGATCATTTCATCAATAATAAATATGAAAAAAATGATTGTTATATTTTTAAATATAATGATAAAAAAATGAAATAATAAACCAATTACTTTGATATATCATATCTAAGGTTTCGTACAAAACAGAGACTCTTTACATAGTTAATGGCGCTTAACAACGGCTGCTGATTCGTTCTTTTTTTTCTTCTTTTTCTTTTCTTTCCCTACAACAGAACTATAGAAATCTATTTAAAATAATTTCATTATATTAAAATAAATGTTTTTTTCTTTTTTTCGTTTAGGTAGATATTATTTTCTTTTTATATTTCCATCAACATCGATAATTATTTAATTATGTTTTTTTTTCTTCTTCTTCTAGTCTTCCTCCCTTCTTTTATTTCTTTTGTCTATGATTTTCTTAATTAATCGATTATTTATCAAATAACAAAAAAAAAGAATCAAAAATCCAATAAAGACAATTCCCTTTTATAAATAAAAAAACCAATGATCGATGGCAATGTTGGAGGTGGTGGTGGTAGCGAAACCGATATTATCGGTAGTGCATCGGAAATTCTTAAAGATCGTCTTTATTTTGCCACATTACGTATCAGACCTAAATCAACCATAAATACACATTTTTTTTCTGTTGACGATGAATTTCTTTATGAGAAGTAAGACAACAAAAAAAAATTTATTTTATTCTATAATTTTTTTTTCTGTCAAGTTTTTATGCTGATTTTGGTCCATTAAATTTGGCTGTTGTTCATCGATATTGTACAAAATTAAATAAAAAATTAAATGTAAAGAAATAATTTGAATTGTTTTTTTTTTTCAATATTTTTTTTTATTTAGAATTCCACATTAGGACATAAAAGAATTATTCATTATACAACATTTGATCCAAAAAAACGAGCGAATGCTGCATTTCTTCTTGCAGCTTATTCAGTAAGAAATAAATTAGTTTTCGAAATATAATCAATTTTATATAAATTAATTGTAGGTTATTTATTTAAAACGTACACCAGAAGAAGCTTATAAACCATTAGTGAGTGGTATTAATGCGGTTCATCCATTTTTACCTTTTCGAGATGCATCACTGGGATCATCATCATATAATCTCACTTTACTCGATACATTACAAGGACTTTACAAGGTAATGAGTAATTTTATTTTGTTTTGTTTAGTAATAAAATCTTTTTTAGGCAATGCTTCACGGTTTTTTTGATTTTGAAAATTTCGATTTGGAAGAATATGAACATTATGAAGTAAAAATTTGAATTAAATATTCAGCAATAATAAAAAAATCTTCTTTTTTTTCCGCTTTCTATAGAAAGTTGAAAATGGAGACTTAAACTGGATTGTACCTCGTAAATTACTTGCTTTTTCTGGGCCACATGCCAAGAGTAAAATAGAGAATGTATGTTTTTAAATCTTTGTTTTTTGTTTATTTTGTTTTTAAAACAATTTAATAATAGGGTTATCCATTACATGCACCTGAAGCATACTTTACTTATTTTCGTAAACGTAATGTAACTACAATTGTACGTTTAAATAAAAAAATCTATGATTCGAAACGATTTACTGATGCTGGTTTTGATCATCATGAATTATTTTTTAATGACGGAAGTACACCGAGTGAAACGATTACCTTGAAATTTTTAAGTATTGTTGAGCAAGCTAAAGGTTCTGTTGCCGTCCATTGTAAAGGTACAATACAATAAGATAAAATTATAAACAAAAGATTTATTTTATTCTTTTTTTATTTTTTCTAGCTGGTCTTGGTCGAACGGGTACACTAATTGGAGCTTATTTAATGAAACATTATAAATTTACAGCTGCTGAAGTTATTGCTTGGTTAAGAATATGTCGACCAGGATCCGTTATTGGACCACAACAAAATTATCTTGAAGAGTAAATATATACTTTTTTTTATTTAGAATACGAAATCATTTTTCTTCTTTGTAGAAAACAAGCTTGGCTTTGGTCATTAGGTGATATGTATCGAGTAAAAGATCGTCCACGATATATGTCATCGTTTGGTATAAATTCTGCGATGGATACAATTGGTCATAATCCATTACGTTATTCAATAGGAGGAGATAATAATAATAATGAGGTTGGTTCTTTTTTTTGTTTAATGTATTCATTTAATTTTTATGAATAAATTTTTCTTTAGGAAGAGAATGACGGTGAAATAACACAAGGTGATCGATTGAATGAAATTAAAGCACGGCGTATGCAACAGCACCATTCGACAGGACCATCAAATTGGATTTCACCAAATGCCAATGTAACTTCAAGTTTAACGTAAGATTTTCTTTTTATTTCTTCTTCTGAAAGCCTTGCAAACTAAAAGAGTGCGAAAAAGAAGCTTTTGCATGGATAAAAAAAATAACTAATTATTTAGATGTAAATATTGTATTAAAACTTATCAGTCATCATCAGCGTTCAACAAGCATATGAAAAGTCAACATTCCCATACAAATCAATTGTCAATAATATGTAAAAAATGTATTAACAAATCATTTTCAACAAAAAAAGCTTTACAATTACATGAAAATCGAATGCATAATAACAATAATACTATCGCCATGGGTGATGGTACCGATAGGTACTAGATATTAATGTTTAGTCGCATGGGTGAAATTTATCATCGGAGAGTGATGATGATGATGATCATAGATAAAAAAAAATATCCATCACTAATATACAATAAATTTTTTTTATTGCAATTTTAACTGCTCGCTGTTAGTTGTTGTTGTTGTTTTTTTTGTTCGGTTTTATTGCTCGATATAGTTGCTCGTGGAGTGATAAGGGAATGTGTGTTGTATGATATAAGACGAATATTTTTTTCTAGTCTCTTCACAAGACCTTTATCGACAGTACCGGTTAGTGATAATGAACATATGACACCACCACTTCGATTATACAATACTCGTGTGAACTCAGCTCCAATCAATATTCATGAAACACATCGATCTACGATATTTGCTACACTTGATTCACAAAGGTGTTTCCATGAAGCAAGATTGAAAATTGCCTTCATTATATATATATCAATTTTCCTTTCGCTTTTATATCATCAATTACTTCATTAGCCTTCCTAGTTCTACCTACTTTGCCGTGTATATGAATATGTTTTTTGCATGAACAGTTGCTCATAGATTTAAACAAAAAAAAAAAAGGATGAACAGATTAAAAAAAACTGCTTCTATTTTCCTTTTTTTTATTTATCCAGTGTTTTATTTTATTTTGTTTTTTATTTTATCCAGATTTGATCAATCTGCTGCATACAAACGTGCTCATACAGCATTGACATCAACGGGTAGTGTGCCACTTCATAATGTTGTTTCATCATCTATGAATCCATCGACTGGTATACGTCGTTCTTATGTACCTGTAACCAATACACCTTCTAATGTTTTATTAAATTCCAGTACACGGAAACCTCGTTCTTATATAACTCCAACAACATCAATAGTGAAAGCGTAAGATCTATTTATATTATTTTTTACTCTATATATCAAACGTACATGTCTACCATGAAATTATTATTCATGAAGTAAAAAGTAAATACTAACAATTTTACTATTTAAATTGTTTTGACAGAAAAAGTCTACAAACGAAGGATATAGTAAATTCAATATTGATTTATCCTGAAATTTATCCAGTAGTAATCAAAAAAACATGTTTATTGATTTAAGCAAACCTTTTTCTTTTTTTGTTTTTGTTTTGATATTCTATAATCTAATTCATTTTGTATTCTAGTCCGATGTATTCCAGTGGACGTTATATGTCTTCAACATTAAATGATAATATCGGAACAACATTAACTATATCTGATAGTGATAATCGTGATCCAGTATCATCAGCTATATTAAAAACTTCTTCAAATCAACAATATCGTGGTAAATCACCAATAACAAATACAACTCCATTACCTACTCATTCATATTATACACGATCAAAATCGGTAATTTGATTGAAATTATTTATAACTGTCATTTATTTTGATTTATTTTTTTAGTCTTATTCCAAATATTAAAATACACCAAGATAGAGAGAAAAAACGAAAACGTTTTGTTGTCCTCCAATGCAATCTCTCTCTCTCCCTCACTCATTTCTTTTTTGTGCCAAACTGCGTGTTTTTTTTCTTTTCAATGAGAATTGCTTTTCTTTTCTATTCGTTTTGTTTTTCTTTTCCTTTTTTTTTGTAGTTGCGAGACTTTTTGCTTTAATAATTATGGAAGTTTTTTTTTTTAAGAAAGAACAAGTACTCTCTTTGTCTCTTGTGTGTATGCATTTTTTTTTGTTAAGCTTATTTACTGATTCTGCCGCTACTATTGATGCTTTTTTCTACTACTCTCTCTCTCTCTCTCTCTTTATATATATATATATGAACGGAATTTTTCTTGTCCTGTATATGTATTCTCTTGTAATTTAAAACAAAAAAAAATATATATATATAACGACGAAAGGCAAGAAAAGAAATCCATCGAAGCGAAGAAATTATTATTGATAATTGGATTTAGTTTGTTTCTTTTATTTAGCTTAAATTACATGATTGACAGAAGCAGATTGTAATCTATATAGAGAAACAAATCTCATATTTCTTTGTTAATTATAATGAAGTTTAATAATAAATAGAACATATATATATACACAAGAAATATATATTTAATACTTTTATTTATAATATTGTCTAATTATACTTTCTATTACATCTATCTCCGGTATCGGATATTGTTTGAATTTATTCAATAAAACGTTTTTGAATAAAATTCTATAATTTTGTTGTTCCGGAATATGATCATTATCCGCATCCAGTTATTAACACTGATGATTACAATTTTTTTTTTCTTTGCTCTTTTAATGACTTTCTTGCTCGGTCGATTCATAGACTGATGACTTGAGCATTAAGTTAAGTAGTTCATCATCGTCATCATTCC